CTCTGCTCTCTTTCCAGAGTCTCAACCTCTTTTTTTGATATCAAAGTGACCAAAACTGAATGCAATATTCCACAGGTGGCAGTATGGATTGGCCCTAGCTTCCACCAAAGCTGCCCACTTTTTCTGACAATCTGGAGGGAGATGCTTTTCTTTAAAGCGACTCAAGGAACTATAGGTAGTTCTCAACAGACAACTATAAGGAAGCTGGCCTATTATAGTCACGTGTTAAGCGAACCTTACAGTGCAGTTTTGCCGGAAACTGGATGTAACTTCCAGGGTTTGGTCCAAATTGTAGTCATGTGACCATGGAAATGCAGCCATGTTGCCAAGTGGCCAAACCCTGGTCATGTGAACCCATAACGGGGACAACTAACGGAACCGGGTTGAAACTCTGTTTTCACATGGAAGTTGCATCTTCGAATGATCGCTAAGTGGCTGTTCATAAGTGAAGGACTACCTGTATTTAGCGTGAAGTCATTATTTGTCTCTTTAAGCCAGGGATGAACCTTAAACCCTGGCTAAGCCGCAGGCAAAGCTGCAGATGGGGTCAGAGGGAGTCTTCTTATCATTATCTCCTACTATGACTTTCTAAGCTGAAAACACCGAGACAGTGGACCTGTGAACAATATTACTATTTTTTTAAAAAAAATAATAATAATCTCTTGTTTTTATAGGTTAATTGACCCACATCCACATGCAACTGTTCTTTTATTTACTGAAAATTGACAGCAGGTAGGGTGGAAGGCTGAACTTGGACTTAAAGGACTTAAAATAAGAAACTAGGGCTTGCAAAATTTTGAATGAAGCTTTCCTCTTTGAAATGGCTTCCTTAAGGAAGACTTTCCACCCTGTGTGAAGAAAACAGATCTAGCCAAAGCTCTCTTGTTCCAGTCTTCAACCGGAACCTGTCTTGATGGATCTACCCATCAAGAATAACGGAGCTTCAAGCCGTGATGAGAAGATTTAACTCTCAAAGCTCTCTTGTTCTACTCTTCAACCCGGACCCATCTTGATGGACCTACCCATCAATAATAACAGAGCTTCAAGTCCTGATGAGAAGCTTTAGCTGTAATTTCAATTTCTTACAATGGTTCAGAACTGTGGAATTTCACGAGCCCATCTGGCTTGGAAATTCTCAGGATGTAGTCCCAACAGATGGGGACAACCTCTGATTGAAGGAGGCTTGCTCCTACCTGTGTATTAGGATGCTACAGCTTGCTACTCCATAAGGCAGGCAATGCCAGAAAGACCACATGGTGATCTTCTCGCTCGTGTCAAAAGCTGCTGATATTCATATGCAAATGTATTCAGATTCCATTAATACACTTGCACAGACTTGGGATTTCTTTAACCAGATGGCAATCCTTTTAAGGAAGTCTTTCAAGGAAGTTCTCACATTGATTTACAAGGCCTGTAGAACAGTGGTTCTCAACCTGTGGGTCGGGACCCCATTTGGGGTCGAACGACCATTTCACGGGGGTCACCAAACAATGCAGTCTGCCATTTTTTTCCCCTTTTCCTTAACTGTGCTACTCCCTTTTATTCTATTGGCTTTTGAAAGCCAATAGAATAGACTCTCTTGAATAGAGTCTAATTCTATTGGCTTTCAAAAGCCAATAGGAATTGTCCAGGCTGTCTCTGCCCTGCTGAGCCCGCCAAAAGTCCCATTCTGCAAACGGTGCTGCACCAGTTGAGTAGTCCTCGACTTACGACCGGTTGAGTAGTCCTCGACTTACGACCGGTTGGGGGTCGCGGCATTAAAAAGGTTGAGAACCACTGCTGTAGAACCATCAGGACCAAGGGCTGCTTTTTAAGGTCTGTGCAGCCATCTGTCTCCTCTAAAGTGTCAGTCCTTTGAGCAAGTCCACACAGGAAACCAAAGCTATCAACACCAACACTCCATTTATTGCAAGGTTACAGTTACAGGATTTTGCAAGCACTTCCTCGCTTTTACTTTCTAGGGAATTAGGGAGGGCTCCTTCTGAGATTCTCTTGCCCATCCTCATTCTTTCTGAAATAGCTCATCTGGTTGTTTTCTTAGCTGCAGCTCTTCCTCCTTCTCCCAAGGTTATTCTCACAGTCCGTTATGTAAAGATGGACAATTTTGGCCCTCTAGATCTTTTAGATCTACCACTCAAACAATTACAAGGTTTCGGTCATGGTGCTTGACGGGGATCAAAGCTACAGTCCATAACACCCAGAGGACACCAAATTGCCTCTCTTGGTCTGAAGCCCATAGCCACAGTTTTAGCACGAGGTGTTTGCAAATATGACTTCGGTATCATTTTGATTGTGATTTGGAAAAAGAGGTATGAGAAATGAGGGGTCCTTGGTGCTCTACGGCCTTGGTTGTTTTCTTGCAGACATTTCATTACCCAATCAGGTAACACCATAAGGGTCTAAACATCAAGGACCCCTCATATATGCTAAAATTATAGACTGCTTAGAGAGGGCTGTAAAATACTGAAGTGGTATAGAAGTCTAAGTGCTATTGCTATTTCTATTTCAATCCTGAACTACAAATAGAATAGAATAGAATAGAATAGGAATAGAGTTGGAATAGAGTTGGAATAGAATAGAATAGAATAGAATAGAATAGAATAGGTAGGATAATTTTCAACCGTGTCTCCCTTCTACCTTGGCAGCCAACTGGACAAATTCTGAAATTCAAAATTGCCCCCCCCTTCCTGTATGCTTTTAATTTTTAAAATAATTATGAAATGTCATCAGGGTGATTCTTGACCAGTATGATAACAGGAACCAAAATTTACACACAACTCCAAAGCTACGCCAGAATCTGTCTACCTGTTTGCCAATGGTTTCTTGCAACTCTAAAGTTCAATCTCATCAAACATTCATCCCAACATTTCTCATCACTTAATGAATGGGAGAAGAAAGAAGAACTCAAACCCCAGAATCTGATATCTTCATTTTTTCCCCCAAAACTCAGTACGAGAAGAGTTAACTTTGCTTCAGATTAGAAAATCATTTTTAAAATACACACACACACACACACACACACACACACACACACAACCCTACACGTATTTAGCCTTGCCGTAATTACATTGCCCTGGTCTGCGTTCCCAACGGAGCATATGGACTTTTTACAGCTGGGAAAGCTTTGTGCTACTATGAACTCCACGCACATTCCTTTTAATTACATATGTGCCTGCTGAGGACATACGATGAAGTCTGGCAAACTAATTTGCTACCAGCATGAGACCAGGAATAAATACTAAATATTACACCCCAGTTGCTTTTCTCGGCACTATCCATTATTCCCTAGAGACGGGACTAAATGGAAATTGCCCCAGTAATGTGAACAAGGTAGAAAGTGATTAAAAAAAAGTACACACGAAGGTATCAAATAAAATGAGAAGAGCAACAAAGATGATTAGGGGACTGGAGGCTAAAACATATAAGGAATGGTTGCTGGAATTGGGGATGTCTAGTTTAATGAAGAGAAGGATGAGGGGGGACAGGATAGCAGCCTTCCAATATCTCAGGGGCTGCCCCAAAGAAGAGGGAGTCAAGCTATTCTCCAAAGGCGTCTGAAGGCAGGACAAGAAGCAATGATTGGAAACTAACCAAGGAGAGAAGCAACCTGGAACTAAGGAGAAACTTCCTGACAGTTAGAAGAATTAACCAGTGGAACAACCTGCCTCCAGAAGCAGTGAATGCTCCAACACTGAAAGTTTTTAAGAAGAGACTGGACAGCCATTTGTCCGAAATGGTGTAGGGTTTCCTGCCTGAGCAGGGGGTTGGACTCGATGACCTCCAAGGTCCTTTCCAACTTACTATTATTATTATATAAAATTTTGACTTTGGGTTTTGCTGATTAGATAGGTTTGTTTTTATAAAAAAAAATAGGCTAGTACCGGCATCCCCAACTTGCAACCGTTCCTTTCAAAGTTACAAATGGCATTGAGAAAAGTGACCGTTTTTCCCACTTACGACCACTGTAACATCCCCAGGGTCAAGCGATCAAAATGCAGATGCTTGGCATCTGACTCGTATTTATGACAGTGGCCGTGACCTGGATCCCCTTGGGCAACCTTCTGACAAGCCAAGTCAATGGGGGAAGCTAGATTCACTTAACAATCGTGTTACTAACTGAAGAACTGCAGTGATTCATTTAACAACTGTGTCAAGAAAGGTTGTAAAATGGGGCAAAACTCACTTAAGAAATGTCTTGCTTAGCAACAGAAATTTTGGGGTCAATTGTGGTCATAAGTTGAGAAATATCTATAAAAATAAAAATGAAGGTCTCTAACTCTGGTTTCAGTTCTTCCTCCTTCTCCCGTTTGTAAGTGATGAGAAATTTGGGGATGAATGTTTGGTGAGATTGAACTTTATGTTTGCAGAAAACCATTGGCAAATAGGAAGACGGATTCTGACATACAGTAGCTTTGCCTTACTAGAAAGCCACTGATCATTCAAGACCTCGGTATCTTTTTTCTACCATGGTGACCAAAATTGGATTTGAGCTGCACCTTTCTTCCTCCTTCAACAAGCATTACAATGTCAGGATGTAGCAACTCCTCTCAGCAACTCTATTGGCAATGATTGTTGTTCAAGGCACAAACCTAAGTCAGCAATAGCACTCAGACTTATATACTACTTTACAGCCCTCTCTAAGTCGGTTTACAGAGTCAGCCTCTTGCCCCCAACTATCTGGGTCCCCATTTTACCCACCTTGGAAGGATGGAAGGCTGAATCAGTGGCAATAGCATTAGCACTTAGACTTATATACCGCTTCACAGTGCTTTACAGCCCTCTCTAAGGAGTTACAGAGTCAGCCTGTTCTCCCCCCCCCCAACAATCTGGGTCCTCATTTTACCGACCTCGGAAGAATAGAAGGCTGAGTCAACCTTGAGCCGGTCATGATCGAACTGCTGGCAGTTGGCAGAGCCAGCCTGCAGTACCTCATTCTAACCACTGCGCCACTACGGCTCTTCACAACAGACACGCCGTTGGGAGACCCTTCTCCAACTTACCTTCCAGTGGGCAGAAACGAGTCACCTGCTCGGGCATCAGCTTCCCTTGCTTGTGCTGACAATACGTCTCGGCAATTTCTTGACGACACTGCTTGGATTTGGCCCTGGAAAGGGCCGAGAGAGCCTCCTTGCCTGAGATGTCACATTTTGGCAGCTGATCGTATCCAAGCTCAGGAGAGCCATTCCCACTCCGTTTCACATGAGGCTGTCTGGAGGACTTTGGGGTGTCTTTCAAAGGGTTGCCATTGTTGTTGGGTTTGGGGGCAGAATTGTCCAAGGGTGGCCGCTCGTTGGAGTTTTTCCCGAGGAGAGAGTTCTCCTTGGCTTTCTCCGCCTGTTCTAGCTTTCTCCGTAGGCGCTCCTTCTGTGCACTGATGGGCTTTTTCACCAGTTCTGGATGATGCTTCTGCTTCTGAGACCGGGGAGCAAAATTGCTATTGTCAATGTTTTCAAAGTCCTTGGGGACAGAGTTCTCGTTGTTGCTGTCTGTGCGTGTCTTCTCCTTCGGCCGGTGGGAAAAGTAGCCATCCTATAAACAGGGGGAAAAGAAAGATTAGGACCTGTTGCTACAACAGTGTATTTCAAACTGCATAGGCACACAAGAATACACCGGTTTATTTTTATTGAGTTTTCCAGGTGCTTCCAAGCCTAATCTGGAGAAGGGCACTTTGGATTCATCAGTGCTAGAAGGGAGAGGGGTTTGGAGAATGGAGGAAAAGGAGGCGAGAAGGAGGAAAAAAGAGGAATATATGTGATCTATAATCTGGTGATCCCCAATTTTGAGCCTCACTGCTTAACAGAACTGCGCTACATTAGTTCCAAATTGGCTTATCTCCCAGATCACAGAGAAAGCAGAATAAGGACATTCTCTAGCACTAACACTCGTTTAAAGTTTGCATTCACTGAGTAGCATCTGCTTATCGCCCTGCTAGCATTTGCTTTCTCTAAATTATCATGGCATCTTCAAAAGCAGATGCTGCCGATACAGCTAACTAGAACCACTCCATTAAAAAACAAACAAACAAAAAACCTTATGAAACCCTCAAACAAAACAGAAAGAAGAACCAAAAAAATGGAAGACTGGGTGAACTTTAATAAAATCCAAACTCAACACAAGTTATTGTTGCTCGCTCCTCCAATGCATCTGCTTGATTTGTGCGAGTCAGTTTCACCTGACATTTGCAGGAGACAAAACCTGTCTGCAGTCGGGGTGAACCGGTGATCAGGGGTATTCTAAGGCTCCCAGGATTGAGGTTACAGTCCTTACTTTTAACCAAGATTGCTAGCTGACCTGTGATACATCTCCATCCTTCACCGGAACCCTTCCTGAAAGACCATTCCCCGCCAGAAACGTAACCCATGGACCAACTTGCTTCAAAAACAAACATGAGGTAGAACTGTGATCAAAAGCGATCCAGAGGTTTACTGTCCATCAACAATTCGCTTTGGGCTTCACAGAGTAAAACTTTGCAATCCAGCATCTACAGCAGGGGTCTTCAAACTTGACTTGTGGACTTCAACTCCCAGAATTCCTCGGTCAGGCATGCTGGCTGGGGAATTCTGGGAGTTGAAGTCTACAAGTCATAAAAGGGCCAAGTTTGAATAGCCCTGACCTACAGGCATGAAAAGGTCCATACATGTCTACCCAAATCAGCTGAGATTTAGGGTGGCTGTGTTGAAATCCACACAGAGAACCAGTTGCTCACCTATTTGAATCCCACCACTGAATGAACATCACTTGAGCTTCATTTGTGGTGCTAAGCCCAAACCTCCTGCCCCCTTGCCTTGAGTCGCCTGAATCATTCATCTTCCTATTCTTCAGGCTTGCTTGCCGGTTAGTCACAGAAACAATATTTCAGCTGCAAAATATATGAGCAAAATCCTGGAAAGTCTACAAAAAGATTTGAAAGCCAAGCATAACAGTTCTGGAGAAGCAAGTCCCCAAAGGTTCATAAATATGATCCATTTATGCTCTTAATCTACAATGAGTCATTTGTAGGAACCGCTTCCTTTAGGAGGGTTTCTCCAGCAAATCACAGGCGGTCCTTGACTTACAACTACAACGGAGTCCAAAATTTCTGTTGCTAAGGGAGACAGTGGCTAAGTGAGCTTTGCTCCTTTTTAACCACCTTTCTTACCACAGTTGCTATGTGAATCACTGTAGTGGTTAAATTAGTAATATGGTGGTTAAGTGACTCTGGCTTCTCCATTGACTTTGCTTGCCAAAAGGTTGCAAAGGATCATCACATGACCCCGGGATGCTGCAACCGTCATAAATATGAGTCAGTTGCTAATCATCTGAATTTGGATCACGTGACTATGGGGACGCTGCAAGGCAGGTGTGAAACTGTCGTAAGTCAGTTTTTTTCCAGTGCCTTAACTTTGAAATAATAATAATGAGAAGGAGAAGGAGAAGGAGAAGAAGAAGAAGAAGAAGAAGAGAAGAAGAAGAAGAAGAAGAAGAAGAAGAAGAAGAAGAAGAAGAAGAAGAAGAAGAAGAAGAAGAAGAAGAAGACGAAGAAGAAGAAGAAGAAGAAGAATAAGAAGAAGAAGAAGAAGAAGAAGAAGAAGAAGAAGAAGAAGAAGAAGAAGAAGAAGAAGAAGAAGTTGGAAGGGACCTTGGAGGTCATCAAATCCAATCCCCTGAAACCCTATACCATTTCGGACAAATGGCTGTCCAGTCTCTTATTAAAAACTTCCAGTGTTGGAGCATTCACCGCTTCTGGAGGCAGGTTGTTCCCCTGGTTAATTGTTCTAACTGTCAGGAAGTTTCTCCTTAGTTCTACGTTGCTTCTCTCCTTGATAAGTTTCCATCTGTTGCTTCTTGTCCTGCCTCCAGGCGCTTTGGGGAATAGCTTGGCTCCCTCTTCTTTGGGGCAGCCCCTGAGATATTGGAAGGCTGCTATCATGTCCCCCCTCGTCCTTCTCTTCATTAAACTAGACATCCCCAATTACAGCAACCATTCTTTATGTTAGTTTTAGCCTCCAGACCTCTAATCATCTCTGTTGCTCTTCTCTGCACTCTTTCCAGAGTCTCGACATCTTTTTTACATCGCGGTGACCAAAACTGGATGCAGGATTTCAAGTGTGGCCTTACCAAGGCATTATAAAGTTGTATTAATACTTCATGTGATCTTGATTCTTGTAAATCCAAGGACTGTCTTGTATCTTTTTTTGATCTGCATTAGGGATGTCTTTCCCCACTTTCTTTTTCCTTCCTTTTGCTCCGTGGTCTTCAGCTTCAGACACTCTTGAGCAAAGCTGAAACACGGTCTACTGTGGCTTGCAAAGGACCCTAAAGAAAGCAAAGGTGACCGTCCTCTTTGCCATTCCGTTTTAAGGCTGTGCAAATATTCAGATCAGGAGATTGGATTAAACAAAGCACTTTGAAGTCAACTGAGCCACATCCCAAAGTCTTTTCCAAGGGCTGCATTAAAGTGGATGCCTCTCAAAGGGGTTTGCAACACAAGCCAGGTTGCAAAAACCACGGTTTGTTCTACCTGCTAAGAGGGAATCAAGCCATCGTTCCCAGTTTGTGGGCAACATTTAGCAAACCGCAGAAGTGGGTTGTGCAATTAGTTTAATCATCCTTGCCAGCCAGGGGAGAAGAGGTAATTTTGTAAGAAGCCCAGAGTTGCCCTGTGGTTAAGATGGGCAGCCAATAAATTTGATAAATAAAAAACAAATAAAGGTACGTAGTTGTTTTGAGGCTTTTTCTTCTTTTTTCTCTTGTTTTTGCCTTTGCTTTTCCATTTTCTCATCCTCTGCATGACGGGGCAACTGCCTTGCATTTCCAGAAAGCTGGGGCCTGACACATTAAAATGTTTATTTGCAACAGATTTTGAGATAAACAAAACAGGATGGCTTGCAGCAAACCCTGATTTTTGTTGTTGTTGCTGTTGTTTTTTGGGAGCTCGGGAGGCTGATGGCTTCCAAGTCCTCAAACAGCCGTTCTGCATCAGAGAAAAGCTTGAGGTTTGTCTTCTCGAATTCAAGCATGGAAAACAGAATAGCCGAATGGACTCTGATCATCCTGAACTTCTTTGAAAACCTCTCCATTTTGGCAGAAGGGAAACGAGAGCCAAGCCAAAAAGAGCAGATGGGAGAAGAGAGCAGATGCTTATGACATTGGCTTCGTCCATATGCTTCCCCTCGCTTAATTCTTTACCATTTATTTATGCCTCTCCGTTATTTACTTTCTTTTTGAAGAGGGAAAGTCAAACAGCATTTTCATAAATACCCGAACATTCAGAGTCTGGAGGCACACTCTGAAACCCTCGTTCCCGAAACGAGAATGTGATGGCACCTACGGGCAGTCCTCGACTTATGATCGCAATTCAGCCCAAAATGTATGTTGCTAAGCGAGACATTGGTTAAATTAGTAACACGGTAGTTAAGTGAATCTGTCTTCTCCATTGGCTTTGCTTTGTCAAAAGGTCGCCAAAGGGACGTGACCTCGGGACACTGCAGCCGTCGTAAATATGAATCAGTTGCCAAGCGTCTGAAATTTGATCACGTGACCATTGGGGAGGCTGCAACAATTCTAAGCCAATTTGGGTCACCATATCGCCAAAGCACAAAAAAGAGGTTGAGAGTTTGGAAAAAACCCAGAGAAGAGCAACTAAGATGATCCAAGGTCTGGAGACCAAAACATACGAAGAACAGCTGCAGGACTTGGGTTTGGCTAGTCTAAAGAAAAGAAGAAATAGGGGAGACATGATAGCAATATTCCAGTATTTGAGGGGCTGCCACAAAGACGAGGGGATCGTGTTGTTCACCAAAGCACCAAATGGAAGAACGAGAAACAATGGTTGGAAACGGAACAAAAAGAGAAGCAACCTGGAATTAAGGAGAAACTTCCTGGCAGAGAGAACCAGTGGAACAGCTTGCCTCCAGAAATCATGAGTGCTCCATCACTGGAGATTTTTTAAGAAGAAGTTAGACAATCACCTGTCTGAGATGGTATAGATCCTCCTGCTTGAGCAGGGGGCTGGACTAGAAGACCTCCAAGGTCCCTTCCAGCTCTATTCTGTTCTATTCTATATTCCATTCAGTGTGAAAAACAGTTATAAGTCACTTTTTTCAGTGCTGTTGTAACTTCAAATGGCCACTAAACCAAGGCGAGGACTACCTGTAGTCTGAACTCTCAGAGAAAGAGGATGAAGACAGCTTAATAGCTCCCAACTATTCCCTAATAGTTCCCAACTAAACTAACCTTTACTTTGGCAAGATTCTGTCGAAGGGTGAAGAGCAATAAAGAAAACTTGGAAGAATCACACCATGTCTGTCTTGGTCTTTGGAGCCTGACAAAAGCTGACTTTTAGCTTAATCTACAATTTAAATGTAAGAATAAAAATCTATTAAGTGAAACTAGAAGCAAAACCTTTTAATTTTTTTCCAGCAAGAACTTGTTGGAACATATTCAAATTTGGCAGTTATTCACATAATGTTCAATGTCCCTGCACCCTTTTTATGCAAGTTCTCCAGGTGTAAATTCAATAACAGCATCTTTTGAAGGTAATAAACTGA